TTTCCCTAGGATGTGAAGTTATTCCTTTGGGCTCACTAATAGCATTATCCTGTGCTATATTTTAAGATTAAAATATGTCTGAAAAGTCAGCATAGAGATCTCTTATTATCTCTTAAGTCTTTGTGCCTGGAAGGGGAACTTATAAGGATATGGGGACCCTGTGCAGAATGAGGCAGAAACGAGGAAATCATTAATCAGCTCCGTGAACTAAACCTCAATGTTGTGAAACAGAAGAATAATTTGGGACAAGAACCCTGTTCTCACCCAGAGGGCACACACCAGGAAACCCACTGTATGTCCAGACTTCCTGCTTTGACTTGCCCATCAGTAAAATGGGCATGTCAGCAGCCCCTCTCCACAGCATAGAGTGTGAGGGCTGAACGGGTAAGATGCAGAGCTTTGGAACACTGTGCAGCACATAAGCCCCATGTTCCTTAGTAAAGTGAGTAAGTTTTCACAGCCAGCAGTGCAGCATCTTCCAGCTCTCACTGACCCTCCTGCTTCTCACTTATAAGGTCCTGTGATAACATGGAGCTCACCCAGGTAACCCTGGAATCCCTCCCCTTCTCAGGATCCTTACCCTATCACATATGCAAAGTCCCACCTACCACGTTAGGTAACATATCCACAGGTCAGAAATAAGGAAGGGGTGTCGGGTCCCAAGCAAATCCAAAACCTAGCAGAGCAAATGACAAGACCTTAAAGCCTGGGAATGATCCTCTTTGGATCATTGAAAGTCAGGCCATACTTGCAGTTCATTTTATAAGCCAAGCATCCCCTGACATCAGACAAAAATTACGAAAACTAGAACAGGGCCCACAAACCCCACTCTCTGTCCTACTTGACACGGCCTTTAAGATCTTCAGCGACAGGGAGAAAATTTCCAGGAATAGGCGAGAACTAAGAGAGGAGGAAAAATTAAAGCGACGCTCAATACATGGCCGTTGCCATTGCTCAGTCCCCCACAACAGGGACCTACAGGAATCCCCTCTCCTTCTCAAAGACCACCGCTGACCTGCTACCAGTGCAGTCAGCAGGGGCACACTGTCAGGAAATGCTGCACCCTGCCACCCCATACCCCATGCCCTTACTGTCACCAAAAGGGCCACTGGAAAAGGAGTTGTCCCTCCCGTCCTCAAGCGGGTAGGCCAACACCATGACCACCCAACACCCAGGGTATTTTGGGTCCCGGCCCCCTGGTCCAAAGTCAAGGCCAGTTTCCCCTGTCGGTGGTAAGTGGCCATCAGGAACGAGAAGCGGACTGTGCTCCGGATCTGGGGCTCCTGGGTGTGGACGACTGAGGGTGCCTGGGGCTCAACCTCCAGGCCCCTACGTTCCCCATAAGACCGGAGGAGCCCCAGGTAACCCTGGATGTGGCAGGGGCCACTACCAGTGTCTGATTGACACTGGGGCTACTTATTCAGCTCTGACCTCCTTCTCTGGTCCCACTCGCCGTTCCTTGATCCTCCCAACAGGGATAGACGGACAACCCTCTTATGGCCATTTTACACCTCCCTCACCCTGTCTCTTGAAAATACTTTATTCACACACTCTTT